TGTTTGCATGATTTATGTCACTATATATATATATATATATATATATATATATATATATATATATATATATATATATATATATATATATATATATATATATATATATATATATATGATTTAAAACAATTATTGCATGCTATTTTGTTATTACGATATTAATTAGTTTTTAGTCTGTAGATAGTATTACTTACTTTTGTAAATAGATGCACGGCCCTATGAAAACCAGGAAACTGATAGGTTACCGTGTTTAAACAAATTTAAATAATAATAATGAAATAATAACAATATTATTCCCTGTTATATATCCCAACCGAGATCCTGGAGAAAAAAAGCACCCAAAGAACCAAAACCTTTAATTTCGGCAACAAAATGTCTCGAACTGCTCAACCGACCATGTGATGATTTTGAGAAAACATTTAGCGATCGATTATTTCGTCTTTATTGAAATTAAATTGTACAAATATTCATCCCAAGCCTTCACACCAGTTAGTTCTTCCCCCAAAAAGGTGGTTAAACGGGATCGGAAACAGTAGGCGGGCGTAAAATGCGAAAAACATGTTTTTTCCCTACACCGCTCTGTGATTTTTGACCGGTTGAGCCACGGGCTTTAGGACAAATTCAATTCGACAACAATAAAATACTATCTAAATAGCAGTTAAAATAAAGTGTACGGCACCTGAACTGTTCAATATCTTGCTTCTATATCCATAAAACATTTACAAATATGCAAATACTGTATATTTTTAAAATCCGCCATATTTATTTACATTGGAACCCAAGCTTTCGTGGTTCACACGGAATATTAACGTCGTTCATCCTGCGTTCATCTGGTGATTTTCACTAATAATAAGAGGGTAGGATCATTCAATTGTTCAATCGTTCGAAGCGCGAGGAAACCATGCTTCCATATATGGCACAAACGTGTCCTCAACTTCCTTATATGGCACAAACGTGTCCCAAAATATTTTATCGAAGCCGTTATGATGTCATAAGATTCCTCCCGCTCGCAACGATTTGAACAGGTCACGTGGTACAGAACCCAGACAGCTGATTGGTTTAGCTAGTGACAACGCCTACTTTAATCATACCCTCTTATTATTAATGAAAAACACCGTCGTTAATAATTCGTGTGAACCGCGAAAGCTTGGGTTCTAATGTAAATAAATATGGCGGATTTTGAAAATATACAGTATTTGCATATATGTAAATGTTTTATGGATACAGAAGCAAGATATTGAACTGTTCAGGTGCCGTACACTTTATTTTAAAGGGGAAGTCAAGTCCGTTCTGCGCATCGGTTCTGCTCATAACAATGTGAGGACCTCTAATGTGAACATTGCCCAATGCTCGAATGTTTCGAATTTTTCTGAACATAAACTCTATTTCATATTCATTTAGAAGCATAGCGAACCAAAATGTTGTTAGATATTCAGACAATACATCATATTTTTAAAAATACAGCAGTTCAAAATGTAAACAAACTGTTTGTTTACATTACGGACTTGACTTACCCTTTAACTGCTATTTAGATAGAATACTATTGTTGTCGAATTGAATTTGTCCTAAAGCCCGTGGTTGAGCCAATCTCGTTCCCAGAGTATGCCTGTTCGCGGGTTATGTAGTGGCATAACTCTGGGGAAATCGAATTTTTTTATCCAAAATGAGATAAATGGCGCATGCGCTTTTATTGCTTCTGTTTATTCCGCTTACTAAATTCGCGCGGGCACACGCTCACAATCGATATTGTTTTTATAAACGAAGATTCTCATCAGAATATAGTATACAAAAGGGTTTTTATACGTTTAAAGGTGCTTTAAATCGTACTACTATTAAATTATATTCAATGGCAAATACTGAAAGAGCTATGAAAGTTGTTCTAGCGAAAAGAGGGCTTGAATATTCGTTAAAAGACGAGACATTCAAATGTATCTCGGCCATATAATTGTAAAATGGTGAAGATGTTTTGGTTGTTTTGCCGACAGGTTATGGGCTTATTATGGCAAATATTAAAATATTTCAGCTGCTACCTGACATGTACGACGTGTTACTTGGCGTAACTAATTCTATCGTGATAGTCATATCTCTACATGAATGACCAAGGCATTTCTGCATACACGATGTCAAAGTATGATACAAGGCCATTCTGTGCTATATATACTAAAACTGTCTGTACCAGTGTAGGTAGTACCAATGTGAAAATGCTGTGCTGAGTGGTTATATTACTACCTTAAAAAATAAGTAGAAACTCGACGTTTCGAGCGAAGGCCCTGCCCTGGCAGCGATATCAAATTACCATTGGATCGACATGAGAACCTGACGTATAAGCTGTTCTATATGCACCCAGAAATGTGTGTCTTTGACAAGAAAATACAAGCTTTTTTCAACTGTATACTGTAAACCTCTGAATATAATGCTCACCTCATTCCAAATATAAGCCCCCCCCCCAAATATAAGACCCCCAAATATAAGCCCACTGAATATAAGTCCCCTGAATATAAGCCCCCTGAATATAAGCCTACTTATTGTTAAGCACTATGTTATTTAACATTGACATTGTCTTTTAATAGACTTAATATAGCAGAGAACGATATTTGAAACACTGTCATTGTCTTAGTTTATAGCTTACTATGTTAATGGAAGTGTGTAATTAATACATGTTTATTTTCCTGTTTATGACTGACTTGTGTATTACTAACACAATTGATCGTCCATGTATAAGGCCTCGGTGCATATATCAACCTTGCAATCCAGGCTTTAACCCCTGCAGTTGCCACTCTCCTGCAGCATGTTTGGGAAGGGAGAGGAAGGAATGGAGGTACTGTAATTTCTATATTTAGCCCCCTTCTCTTCAAACCCCTTTCTAATAACTCCCCCCCCTCATTTGGATACCAAAATAAAAAATAAATAAGCCCCCCTCCTCTTTTAACCATGCAGCCCTCATTCAATTTCTTAAAATCATGAAATATATTGCATTTCTACAGTATTTTAATAAAATATAGTACAACGGTAACTCTGAATATGGACATTTTTTAATGGCAACCAGACTTATTGCATATATTTAGAACAAGTGCTCCCTCAATGATGCTTAGGAAACAATAATACACAGGAGGCTTGATAATTGATACAGAAATTAAAGTAGTTATTTGATTGAAACTGGTAGCTATTTCAATTCTACTGTATCTCCTTTTATATATATAATTGGATTAATTGCCAATATATTCACATAGTATAATAGTTTGGAAATGGAATCAATACTTGTATATTTTTAGCAAATGAGCATTGTTATTGATCAACAATGACTCTTATTGCTATTTACAACATTGTTTCACATAGCAACAGATAAGGAAACATCTGTATTTAAATTCACTACTTATTTTTTATCCAGACACAAATTGATGTAAAAATTGTTTCAGGTTTGGCTTAGTTATAGCCTTACATCGGGCTATTCCATTTAATATCCATACCCCCCCTCTGTCAAATTAGGATTCCTGGAATTCTTCAGGGGTAAAGGGTTTTGAGCTTGGAATTCTTCAGGGGTAAAGTGTTTTGAGCTTGGAATTCTTCAGGGGTGAGGAGTTTTGAGCTTGGAATTTATTTATTTATTTATTTATTAAACTTTGCCAAAAACACTTAACAGAACAGCAAATAGACATCTACACAATAAACATGGAAAAAAATGGCAGGGACAACACAGCAGTGTAAACCAATTACTGTGGGGCCGAATTCTTCAGGGATGAAGGGTTTTGAGCTTGGAATTTTGGAATTCTTCAGGGGTAAAAGGTTTTGAGTTTGAAATTCTTCAGGGGTATAACCATGAAAAACATGTATCCTCGACAGGGGGTGTACGGATTTTAAATGGAATAGCCCATCATGCTGTCAAGTGGCAATCACTTACAAAGCAAATCTATAACCAAATGTTTTAAAACCTGAGGAACGTCTTAAATCAATTATTCTATAATTTATACAGATGCTACAAAAACACCTGGCATCTTAAATTTATATAGATAACTCCATTTACAAAAGCACAAAGACCACGGGCTACAACATGTTGAGTGTTGACCATTGACCATAATGTACTGTATTGTTTAAAGCTTCAAGTTTTAACACAAGCAAAAGCTGTCACTCCAAAGTCCTGGCAACAATATGTGAATTTAACAAAACGACAACGTGTGCGACGATTTCATTTAGCCAATTCTTTCATGGTTATAATGAATAT